TTGACGAACCACTGGCAGAAAGCAGGAGCGATCCATTCCCTGGCATGGATACCACAGTCAATGAAGATAGCAGGTTTGGTGGAGCCAGAGCTCTTTCCAATCTGTGAAAAGGAAAGATGGATTCAGTAACACAAATTCATACTCATACCTGCTGATGACATCTACATTAACATTTTGTCGTTTAGCTCAAGGGTATGATGGCAGTAGCTGTGGTATTAGAGGCTTTAACTGAATAGAGCTGAATAAAACTGAATAAAGTTAAAAAAAAACTTAATAGAGCTGAACAGTGCCAAACTGAGTTGAATAAAACTGAATTTAGCAAAATAAAACCACTGAATAAAGCTGAAAAAAGCTGAAAAAATCAATGAAACAGAGTAGAACAGAATAAAATTGAACAGAGCTGACAAAACTACACAGAGCTGAAAGAAATCTGAATGGAATTGAATATAACCAAATAGAATTGAATAAAATTAAACATAGATAAATACAACCAAACACAGCACAATAAAAGAAATGGAGCTGAATAAAACCAAATAGAACTGAATAAAACTACCTAGAGCTGAATAAATCCAAGTAGAATTGAATAAAACCAAATACAGCTGAATAAAACTGAATAGACCTGAATAGACTGAAAATAGTTGACTACAATTTAATGGAATTAAATACAAATGAATTGAATAAATAAGAAAATGAAACAGAGCTGTATAAAACTGATAAGAATTGATTAAAATGGAATAGAGCTGAATAAAATGAAATAGAGCTGTATAAAACTGAAAATAGTTGATTAAAACTGAATAGAGCTGAGTAAAAAGAAATAGAGCTGTAGAAAACTGTAAAGAATTGATTAAAACTGAATAGAGATGAATAAAACCGTATAGAATTGTATGTGAAATTTAAGGTTCGCTCTCTTCCAAATTTACACTATACACATCAGCTTTATGACAGTGAAATGCCATCTGTCAGTGAAGGCTGACCTTGAGCAGATGCATGGGTCGTCCCTCTTCGGTGTTTCCAATAGTGGTTCTGCTGATCAGGGTCGGGTTGGCTGAGGTGATGGAGATGATCCAGTCCTGGATCTGAAATGCAAGCAGAGCAGTCCCTCATGTCCGCCAAGAGATCAATACATATAGACTGTGTCAGACTCCAGTCCTGGAGGAACACAGCTCTGCAGAGTTTCACATTGCTATTTAAATACACCCGATTCAACTCCCCAGCTAACAGCCAAGGGCTTCACAAGTTTAATTTCTATGTGTTAGAGGAAAACATTAAGCTCTGCAGAGACATGAAATAGACACTAAACCAGAATTCCACCAATGTTTACACCAAATGACTGCTTAAATAAAACATTAAGATATAAATAAAATCATTCAGAGTGGTTTGCTCAATTCTAGAGAAGCTTAATAAAGTCGGAATTGTTCATAGTTTTGGTGATAGGAACAAATATGTTGTGTGATGTCTGGGTTATAGATTTAAAAAAAAAAAAATTTGACCTAAAGAATTTTTTTTCAATAATATTTATTGTGGAGAGGAACATGCGGGCAAAATAGCACCCAAATGAAACATTTTCAGTCTTAAAACATCTTTAAGTTCGCTGCTTATTTTGGATTGCAATTTTGGATTGCTATATTTGTGTTTCAGACATCTTGACCCCTGGTTCCCATCAGCACCACTGTAAAGAATTCTGTGTCTGTAAGTTTCTCTAGAATTAACCATTTTACATCAAACCACTCTGAATGACTCTCTTGACACTTTAAAGACTGAACTATGCAGAAATTTTGAAAAATTGGTAGAATCCCCCATTTAACAGTGAAAATAAGACATACTGTATTCCAGTTGTTGTACTTTGTGTAGTCATGAGACCTGGTGTGGATCCTGCTGTCCATCTGACCATCAACTGCAGTCTGCAGATCATCAATCAGCACCCTGCATCACAGGAGAGACAGAACTCAACTCTAAACATGCTTATAGGTCATAAACCCACAGCAAACCTACAAAGAGAAGACTTACTCTAGCGTACAATCCTCAGAGCCACCTGCACTTTATTACTATGTGCCACATACAAACCCACAAACAAATGCAACTTTCATATAAATGTGAAAACGTTGTGATAATGTCATGATATTGTAATTAATTGCAATTAATTTATAGGTGCAGAGCTCAATGTCAATCAATCTCAGTACTGAACTTAAAATTGCTGATTTATTTGTTGCTATTTACAGTTGTCTGTGAAAGTTTAGTCACCCCTGGTCAAATTACATGTCTTGTTGATTTTCTAAGTTAAAACAAGTAAACACATCATCTATAGAGCATACATTTTAATGCACAATTACTGTTTATTTGCTGAATTTAACCTATTTCAGAAAAAAAGTGTGGCCTGTGCAAATGTTATGGCACATTTGACATGTTGTCTTTTTTTTTCCAATATGTTAAATTCAGCAATAGAAATTATGCTCTAAAATGTGCATAAAGGTAACTTATTTGAGTTTGTTCATGATCATGTGTTGAAGTATCTTGTGATCTTACTCATAGTCGATGCCACTCTGATCCAGCATGATGAAGACCATGTCAGTGTGAGAGGCAGGAACATGGATGTCAACATCAATGTCAATAGTGACCAACTCAGCGCTGTCGGGACTCCAGAAGTCTACCTGCAGAGGGCGACACATAACACATGTACAGGATGGTGCATGAACACATACATACTGTTTTAAGACTGTAGTTAGTTAGTTTTCAAATTTTATGCACATCCAAAGAAAACAATTAATTTTAGAAGCTTTGAGATCTTTAGCCTTTACTTTTTATTTTATTATAGAGTAGTAACATAAAAAGTTGGTTCTGGCTAGTATATATCCATTATTATATCCATCACAGAGACTAAGTATTATGTATACATATACTGTCTATCTTTCTTTATTTTTGGCTTTCTGATATTATAGCTTAATTTGAATTTGAATAGGAATTTGAATGGAGTTGAACCCTATCACCACAGTAATAAACTGAGTGCCTGGGACCCACTTTATTGTTCTAAAGTCCCACAAGGGACTATATTCCAATTTTATATGAATATATATGTACAGCATATAAAGTGCATAGTTCTAAATCTATATCTGATGAACTATTGTATTGTATTGTAAACCTGATACATCAGTTTTCCAGGATGAGGACCATCCCAGAGAGAGCAAGGCCATTTATGCTTTCTTGGACTCCTAGCCACAGAGCACTGTGGCATCACCATGGATCAAAGTTGCAACCTCCCAACATTAGGACTATGAAAAACCCTCAGGCTTCTCATGGAATAATCTTTGGTCATTAATGTGCTTGGCAACCATAGCCTACTGTTAACAATCTACATTTCTTGCTGGAAGGATTGGTCATTGTGATATTATTCATACTAAATTCATAATTTATTTAATATTGGGGTATTTGATCATATTAGCATTGCGTCAATGGACGATGTGTAATACTCATGGTTAAGGGGGCTTCCTTTGCTTCGTGTGCCTAACAATGGCCCTTAACCTTGGTAAAACCACACTGTGACAGCTTATTTCTTTAAAAACACACCCGAGAACCCAGAAATAACTTTAGTTGAACTCTGCTTCATAACACTGACATAACCATGTCATAAACACATCATAGCAGATGTCATATACTGTCATAAGTTGTCATGATAGGTTATGTCTCATAATATCACAGTATCATATCACCAATACCATTAATTGTCATGGCATATGGCGTAATTTTGTAAGTATGCAGCAAGGCTCAAGTAAAGTGTTACTGGATACAATTTCGGTGAAATGATTTCCCGTCAAAAATAACTCTACCTTCAAGCTGCTGGCCAGCTCCTTGATGAATGACACATGCGAATTGATCACAGGTTTCAGACGGAAGACTTTATCCCTGGAAGAGAACGTGAGAGACATGCTTTACGTGCTTCACCCCTATTGTTGCAAATCAATATCACCTCTGTTTTAAGATGAAAAGCAAGACCTTCAAGAAAAAAAAATAAATAAATAAATTACCCCTCAAAACGGGTCGGCTCACAGAGAGCGACGGCTACCAATCCCAAGAGCAGAAGGACCTTCATGTTGCCTGTGTGACTGTCTGTTTTCCCATTGCTCCCTTTATAACCCCAGGCCCTCAGGTGCCGTCCAATCCCTGAAGGCCTCTCCAGCAATGTTCACGTGTGGTATAGCCATCGTACATCTGCGGGTCATTTCAGGTGTAAGATTGTAGGGACTGACGAGGGGGTGGACATTCAATGATTAACATAGGAAAAAGCTATGGATGTTGCAGAGTAGGGAGAGAGAAAGAGAGAGAGCCTTGATCCAAGGCCACACTAAGAGAAAGAAAAGAAGGAATTTTCCATTTTTCTTTAAATATGGAGACAAAGCACCTCAGACTGTTTTCACCACAAAACATAATAAAACATCAACATTGTTTATTTTTCTTAATTCACATTCATATAAAAATATATGTACATTTTCCCACTTCTGTTTCTCTCTGAGGTTTTATTTACATTTAAAGAACAATGTTTAGAGAACTATGCATTCTGAATGACTCATAATTTCTTTACATATCCTATGAGTAATAAAGCTGTACAACAGATATTACAGACATTTAGGAGATCCCAATGAACAATACATACATTAATTACTGTAAGAGAAATGTAAAATATTACACACTGCCATTACAACATTATTGAAAAACTGCTTCATTTACATATCTGAAACATCTCTCTAGCTCTGTAAAGACATCCGAAGTACCACCATAATATGTATTTACACAGTGTTTTCTACATTAATTCTGTCAAATACAGTATCTGATTCATGTCACAACTTTACATGCACTAGCCGCTAAAATTCTACTAGTATGAGGATGATAAAAAATCAGTAGCCATTACCTTCTTGAAACCATTCTGAGCTTCACAGTCAAAGTGAACCAGTGTGACTGGATCTTGGTAATTTATATCTAAATCACACTGTCATACTGTCTTAGGTCTACTCTACACATTCTGTAATCATGCTTATGCAGCAAAACGCCACTCAAGACCTGGAGGGACCTTTGGTTTCGTAACATGTGAAGGCCAGAAGATACCGAACTCAGGCCTCAACACTGACACTCATCTACAATTTAGCAGAGAAGCCTAATTATAATGGGGATTATTATATTATTATGAGATTGTATGTTCCAGTAGCCTAACTGTAGATGAAAAACCATTCCAATTCTGTGATAGATGGTTTTTGGAGAAACATAACAAACACAATTTCTTTTCACACTGGCTTGCTAAAAACATCTTTAGTAAACAAGCTAGCCAAACAAGTTTGATACGTAATAATGCTGATAACGTACTGATACAGTGAGACTGATATTTGGCTGTAGCTGTATGACCTTGCATCCAAAATAGAATGTGTTCTCCTTAAACCTGAACCAATTCTGAGCAGTTGCAAGCTGCATTCGTGGCAGGCTGTTTCTAGCCCCCAGTTGAAATCAATGAGCTCCTGTTTCTTGCAAAACTGGACTAAATTCTGTTTAGTGAGCTAAATAAGCTACAGTGTGTCCAAAAGTTTGTAGACACCTGCTCATCCGACCTTTCTTCTGAAATCAAGGGTATTAATAAGGAATTTGTCCTCCTTTGGTGCAGTAACAGCCTCTACTCTTCTGGGAAGTCTTTACACTAGATGTTGGAACATTGCTGTGAGGATCTGATTGCACTCAGCTGCAAGAGCATTAGTGACGTCAGGTACTGATGTTTAGTTTTGGATCACAAATGTGCAATAGTGCTTTATCACTCCAGGGAATGCAGTTCCACTCTTCCACAGCCCAATGCTGGGGGGCTTTATACCCCTTTAGCCCAATGTTTTCATTGGGTATGACCTTAGGTTCAAGTGTGTGTGCTCCAAAGGATCCCATTCTATTGGTCAGTGCTTTTCTATGGAGATTATGCCAGCTGTACAGGCACAATTGGATGCCTGCATCAGCAATAGGAGCACTTTAATAGATCTGAATAAACTACATTGAATTGGTGTCTGGATACTTTTGGACATACAGTTGTAGAGATTTAATTCTACAAGGCCTTTGGTTCTTTCAGTGTCTTAGCATTATGCTCTGAGACGTACTTGCTACTGGACAAATGCAGTAACTTAGAAGTGCTAAAGGGTAGAACAGTCATCTTAATAGTCATCTATTCAGTGCTAATACTGGGATGACTCCCATCTGGAGTTGACATACAGTGCAGTAGCCTCAGTAGGTTCTTCCAAAAGCTATGTCTCATAAAGCAGAGGTCAGCAACTTTTCTCCTTGAGATATACCTTCTTGCAGGTTTTACCTCTAACCCAACGTGCCTCATTCAGCTAATAAAGGACATCTGAAGGCAATAGTTAGAAGGATCAGGCTCCATCTGGTAGATCTGCAGGAGCAGGGTTAGTGACCACTGCTATAGATGATGGGGTTTATGCCACTTTTACAGTAAGCAGCTGTTTAAGAGCAATAGGGTATTGATAATGTCCAGCAAATGACAGTTCTCCACCATCCCCAGCATGGCCTGCAGCTCCACCTGGCGAGGAAGAATGCTAGCATAGTGGTCAACAACTCCCTGGCACAAATGTGCATCACATCAGGTGGTAGCACGTGACGACTATTGTGCAAGGAAGCCCTGCATGCTCTTCAGAAGGCTGAGGGACACCAGTAGGTGGAGCTGATCATCAACTCCCATTTGAAATGAAACCTGTTCCTGTTCCTTGCCACATTGAACTAAAATCTGTGATACTCTTTGTTGTATCCTTCCCAAATGCAAGTGAAAAAAAAAGGAGTTACACTTTACAGTGGTTTAATCATGCTAGGTTTTTGGCTCTTCCAATGTCTTAGCATTATGCTCTGAAACCTTCTTGCTACTGGGCAGATGCAGTAACCCAGAAGCTCTGTGAGATAGAGTAGTCATTTTACTACTGAAACTGGGATGACCCCCAACTGGAGCTGACCCACAGCGCAGTAATCTCAAAAGGTTCTTGCGAAAGTTGTGTCCCACAAATCCATATAGGATGGGGTTGACGCAACTATTGAAGTAGGCAAGGCAGATGCTGAAGGGCATGGCGGTGTCAATAACGTCCAGCACATTGCAGTTCTCCACCACTCCCAGCATGGCCAGCAGCTCCATGAAGTGGAAGATCTGGTGAGGGGCCCAGCAGATGAAGAAGGCTAGAACAGCAGCAGCTAGAATGCGTAGCGTCTCGTCCTCTCGTGAGCGGGAGCTTTTCTTCAGTGGGCCCTTGGCACCAAGCAAGGCGCGGCCCATCAAGCAGTAGCAGGTGATGATGATGAGGAAGGGCACAAGGAAGCCCAACACACTCTTCAGGACGCTGAGGGACACCAGCAAGTGGAGCCTTTCATTGCTGTGCAGGACACCGCATATTATGGACACGTGGTTCTCGATCCTGTAGACGTCTCGGCTCAGTGCAGTGGGCATGCTAAGTAAGAAAGCAAAGGTCCAGACCAAGACGCAAGTGATTCGGGCATAGAGCAGCGTCCGTCGTCTCCTAGAGCGCACAGGGTGCACGATAGCCAGGTAGCGGTCCATGCTGAGAGCTGTGAGGAAGAATATACTAGTGTAAAGGTTGAAAATGACCAGGCCGGCGCTAGCTTTGCACAGGAAGCTTCCGAAGGGCCAGTGGTAGCCAGTAGCGGTGAAGGTGGCCCACATGGGCAGCGTGACAAGGAAGGTCAAGTCTGACACAGCTAGATTGAGCACAAATACATTAGCTACGGTCTTTAGCTTCATGTAGCGGTAGATGACGGCCACCACCATGCTGTTGCCCACCATTCCAATGACGAAATTGCAAGCGTAGACGACAGGGATGAAGGTGAAGATGAAGTCGTGTCTGCCAGACATGTTGCAGTGGAGCCGCAAGCCCTCACTTGGGCCTGTTGTCGAGTTATTCATTTCCTTTTTTATCCCTCTTTTGCTTTAGCGACTGTGAGATCCCGTGGCTGTAAACATCCACGGGGTGCGTCTGGGCAGACCGCTACCCACCTCTGGGCTCGGGGGGCCTCCTATAAAGGAACACAACAAAAATGTCAGTCAATGCCTCGGAAAGGAGCCATCATTACCACAGTCATGGACCATAAACGCTGGCCCCAAACGCACGGTCAGGAACCAGCTCAGGCTACACCTACTCATTAAAACCCTCATGTTCGAACCCCTTCCCACTGTGTATGTCATTTCTGTAAAACGAGATGGCATCAAAACCAGATGTTTTATGTTGCTCCGTATCAAAAGTGGCCTTTTGAAAACGTGGTATACGGGCAGTCAGAAACCTCTGGGTCGGCCTTTTAAACTCTCCCTCAGCTAATGAGAGGCAACAGTAAAAATGTACAGTGTTTATCAAATGGGCTGGATGCAGTGGCCAAAGGCCGGAAAGAGGGAGTTTTACTTCTAGTGTTACGAGCTACTCTAATGAAGACAACATGCTACAGAGCTTGCTCGAATAACTGCGCCATTAATTATGTTCAGAGGTTCAGGTGAGGGGAGGGAAGAAAGAGAGGAAGAACGAGCGCGAGAGAGGGAGGGAGGCAGGTTTGTCACGTTTCAGGCACTGTGGAGGCTGGATCTCAGCATGTGAACTTCTAATCAGTGCACACCTAAACAAACAGGTCACCAGGGGTCCAGGCTGTGGAAACTTTTGAGAAAAATCCAATGTGTTTGCTGTGGAGAATGAGCCTGCAGCTCCTTTTTAAAGATGCCTTATTAAAAGGCGTAATGTGAAATGTGGAAAAAGTGCGCAGGTTTAATGATACTAAATGAGGTGCTCATCATTAAGGCTAGCTCTACCATGAGCACAAAACCTCTAATGTCTAAACCGCAACAGCGTAATAACATTTTATTTGAGTTGCTGGGAAATTACTGTGATTACAGTGATGCTGGTTTTCTGCCTGTGTACACACAATGTACATCAATAAGGAGACTCAAAGGGTCAGTGCATTTATCATTTTGTGATAACAACATGCCTTCTTTTTTATCCTGACCACAAGAGGGCAAACTAGAGACATTTTCTTGAGAAGTCCAGTCTTATCAGTGTAAACTTGTGGCACATCATAACAAAAGTCTTAATATCAAATAAAGCATCATTGTTAATATTAACAATGCTTTTCCGCCTTCGTTTCTATTATGGTCTGTATAAACCACTGCATATTTATTTATCAGCCTGTTGTTGCTGTTCAGCTTCAGAACTGGTTACTTTTCTTTAATTGTGACCACATTCTCATTTTAACCAGCATATTGGTTTCATCTGTTCATGTCAAACTCTCTCGTTTTCTCTGGTTTCACAGCGGCGTTCTTTTAAAAGGCCTCCTGGTGTAAAAGCAACAGCCTTATCAGTTACAGATGTGATGTTTGTTGCAGGAGGAGAACATCAGTGTGCCAAGGACAACAGAGTGATGAAATATCCCCCTGAGTTTCCTCTGTAAGCCCCTGCTTCGGTAAAGTATCCCTGCAGATGGAATTGCTCTGATTCAAACCTGTGCTCTTGGTTAATGAGGAAAACAGTAGGCATAAAATTTGACTGTGCAGAGCACAGTGTAAGACACTTTGTAAGAAATGCTAGATCTTCCATATATGCTTGATTACAACATGTGTCCTTGTTATCTGCCCAAATATACTTTTATAAACTTAAAAAAAAAAATCATAGTTGCACTACTGGATTACCGAAAAGGAACAGTAGGAAAAAATCCAGTGAATAATAATTATGCGGTTACTATACACAGGGTATCATTGTTTGCAGGTTCTCTATAATTGGTCTAAATCTGTCTGAATCTGTTTTGTAAATAATAACAATTATTTAAAACAAGTGAAAATAGGCCGCAATAGTTCTGGGCATATAAATGACCCAGTCAAATAACCTGTGCTGATTTTCTAAGCGAATATAAGTTAACATAGCAGCTACAGGAAATAAACTTAAAAATTGCATTTTTCCACACAATGTAGTGCCCAATTTTTGTTTGTTTGCTGAGTTTAAAATATTAGGGAAAACATATAAAAACATATAAATTATGATATATGCCATAACTTTTGTATAGGTCACATTTTATGTCTACATTTTTTCCCCCAATATGTTAAATTCAGCAAATAAACAGTAACTGTGCAAAAACGTATTTTCACTCAGAAAATCAACAAAACATGTAATTCGACCAGGGGTGTTGAAACTTTTGCACTCAAGTGTAACAGCACAAACAAATATGTTTGTAATATGGATTTAAAAACACTTACAGAGTGTGCATTCCTAATGTTTCCTAACGATACTGTTCCAGAGTGTAGGAGGTACATAAGAAAATGATTTCCCACCATCTGAGCTGTAAGTGATCCTATAGGTTTGCAGGAAGCCTCCCTCTGCTGAGTGAAGTTGTATGGATGGGGTATAGTTCCACAAGCAAGACCTTGCGGTAAATGTAGAACTTAACAGGTTGGTATAGTGTTGTGAGGAACACCTCTGCATCCCCTGTTCAGGCAAGCACTCTATGCTATGCCAAAAAGAATCCTTGGGCAGGACTCTTAACACTACATTTGTCTACTTCTGCATATGCCAAGTGCCATAAAGTGTTGATAGGATGCTAGTATGAACTGAATAAGACTGGAGTAACATGCTCAAACACTTTTTTTTTCCTGGCATACATACAGGATGCTGCATTCTAAACTTGTTAGAGCCTACTATATTTAGAGACAGTAGGGCAACACATTACAGTAGTGTAATCTAAGAATAAGGAAATTTAAGGAATCTTCACTGACAGTATGTTTTCACTAGTCAGAGACGACTCATTGTCTAAATTGTTGGGATGAAGAGTCAAAAGCAGGAAACAGACCATATAACTCATGGAGTTAAGTTATCCTGAGAGTCCTGTAAGCAGTGGTTCCCAGGCAGACATTTACGCTGCAAAAACAGTGCTAGAGGAGCTGCAGTGTCAGGATGGGGCTGGATGGGAAAGACTGTCAAGGGCTGTGATTTACACTTCAGCAGGGTCTTTGGGTCAAGATACAGGGACAGCCTGGCTGCTTGAGAGGCATTAGAGGGAATGTATGGCACATTGCAGAACGCCTGGGTGGTGCCATGGAACACAGGAAACTCAGTTTAATGCATCTGACTTTCTGATAAACATGTCACAAATGTCCTACTGGTTCAACTAAGAATATATATGCCTCATTTGCTGGTAAAAAATATAGACCATTGGCTCTCAATGTTTAGTTTCAATGCTGGACAGCTCCTTATCTTACAGCTCATAATTCAGTGAGAGTTATTACTGTTATTTTGTTTTGCTAAATAATTCCAGTAATTGAAATTTAAATTAGGTTACGTATAACTAACTACACACTTATTACATAGTTGCATTTACATTCAATTTACACTCACCAAGCACTTTGATAGGGACACCTGAATACCTATTCATTCATGCAATTATCTTAGCAGCTAATCAGCCAATCATGTGGCAGCAGTGCGGTGCACAAAATCATGCATTAATTGTTCACATCAACCACCAGAATGGGGAAAAAATTTGATCTTAGTGGTTTTGACCGTAGCATGATTGTTGGCATTTTTACACAACAGTCTCTAGAGTTTACTCAGAATGGTGCAATAAAGAGTAGACATTCAGTGAGTGTCACTTCTGCGGATGAAAATGCCATGTTGATGAAAGAGATCAGTAGAGAATGGTCAGACTGGTTCGAGTTGACAGAAAGGCTACTCAGATAACCACTCTGTACAGTTGTAGTGAGCAGAGAACCAGCTCAGAATGCACAACATGTCTACCTTGAGGTGGATGGGCTACAACAGCAGAAGACCACATTGAGTTAAACTTCAGCAAAGAGCAGAAAGCTGAAGCTGCAGTGGACACAGGCTCACTAAAACTGGACAGTTGAAGGCTGGAAAAACATAACCTATTCTGATGAATCTGGATTTCTGCTGAGGCACACAGGTGGTAGCGTCAGAATTTGGCGCCAAGAGCATGAATTCACAGATCCAACCTTCCTTGTAGCAACAGTCCAGGCTGGTGGAGGTGGTCTAATGGGGTGGGGAATGGTTGAGTATTGTAGCTGACCATGTGCATCACATAATGGCCATCATTTACCATTACCATAAAATTTACAATTTATTGCAATCATGTCAATATGGACCAGAATCTCAAAGGAATGTTTCTAACATCCATGCCATGAAGAACTGAGGCATTGAGAGCAACGCAAAGCCCTCCCCAGTATTAGTATAGCGTTCCTAATGAAGTTCTTGGTGAGTGCACTTTCTATTCTGACAGATTTAAGTCTTCACTACAATGTCTATTTGATATTAATATGTAAAGACCTATGACATGGTCTGAAAAACTCCCACAAAATCTGACCAGGCACCTCTTTTAACCCCTGGCCAGGGCCAGCCAAAATTCAATAACCTAAGAATAGCACAGCCAGTCTGCATGGAAGTCCATGTAGTTACTGAATAATAAGCCTTAGTGTGTAATAAGCCTGGGATTTTAAGGGGTTATATATTGTTAGCTTTTAGCTTGTAGTTGTAGTTCAGCTTGTAGTCATTTATGTAATTTGAGACCACAAACATACGACTGCAATAAGGTATTCAGCTTTATAGCCATAAAGTTTTGCTTTCATTCTGCATTCACCAGCAAATAAAACATCAAAACAGCTCAGCCCCATAAATCCACCCATTTTCCTCCCATCCTTCAAGATACATCAAAAACAAACAAGTTTTTCCAGTCTTTAAACTGGAAGAGCGCCCTCTAGAAACTGTTGTTAACGAACCCCATAGTGCAGCTCAAGCAGTTTAACATTTACAGCTCCACAAATCAGCTTCACTATCTGGAAAACCCCTTAGTGCATCTCTAACATGGCAAACTCTGCAGTTCAGCTTTAACACCTGACAGCACCTTGGAACACAACAGCGATTGCTCAACAAAGAAGGTGCATTTGGGGTAATAAACTCCCGCTCCCTGGTGACTAAACTATCTGTGCAGCTTTTAAAGGCAACATTTAACACGAGCACCACCATCTGGCAGAGAGAAGC